CACTTGAACGCTTCCGCTCGCGATCTACAAGGGTATGTAGATGCACTCATATTCCCCTCGTTGCTAGAATACTCCATAGATTGATCTTGGTGATGCGTAGAAATTTTTTAATTTCTGCTACGATCCCCAACACTCTAGTGGTGTTATGTGAACGTCGACTACATGACACTTCACCATTATTTGGGCCTAGAGGAAGGCATTGGGAAGTAATAAGTAGATGATGGGTTGCTAGAGTGACAGAAGCTTAAATCCTAGTTTATGCGTTGCTTCGTAAGGGGCTGATTTGGATCCATATGTTTCATGCTATGGTTAGGTTTACCTTAATACTTTTGTTGTAGTTGCGGATGCTTGCAATAGAGGTTAATCATAAGTGGGATGCTTGTTCAAGTAAGGGCAGTACCCAAGCACCGGTCCACCCACATACCAAATTATCAAAGTACCGAACGCGAATCATATGAACATGATGAAAACTAGCTTGACGATATTCCCATGTGTCCTCGGGAGCGCTTTACATCTTATAAGAGTTTGTCCAGGCTCGTCCTTTGCTACAAAAAGGATTGGGCCACCTTGCTGCACCTTATTTACTTTTGTTACTTGTTGCTTGTTACAAATTATCTTATCATAAAACTATCTGTTTACCACTTATTTCAGTACTTGCAGAGAATACCTTGCTGGAAACCGCTTATCATTTCCTTCTGCTCCTCGTTGGGTTCGACACTCTTACTTATCGAAAGGACTACGATAGATCTCCTATACTTGTGGGTCATCATATCAGCCAGCCACATCATCGAGCTTGATGACATTGTAGGGGATCAAGCAAGTTGCTAAGGAGGCGAGTTGAGCAATTCGAGCTTTCGAAGAACGTGCAACAACACGCCAAATTTTTGCTATGTGCCAGCCAACAGGTACCATGGCTTATTATTTCAGACTAAATGGGTTCAGATGACAAAAATGCAGAGACGATAGTGTAGGTTTCCTTATGAGTCTATGAGGGTAAAAGTAAACGACGGGGGCCTATTAGCAAGATTGCAACCATGTTTAGATCGCTGCCAGCTTGATAAACACATCTGATATGGTTGCCGACGAGTGTGCTGTGATTGGCTGGTGACCATGTCATCACACGCGTGCCAAGTTTGAGACGGCAGCATAGTCCTTTTTAAGTTCATGCACCAAAGCACAGAATGCACTTCAAGTTTGTGACCTACGTGCAATATAACTCTTCAACTTTGCAATTCATAGATGATGTCATCTTATGAATACTATAACCAGGATTGCAATAGAGGAGTAGTTGTCGTACTTGTAATGGTACATCAGGATCTTGGAGACGGACAGGGTCGGTCCCAGCCATTATTGGAGCCCTGCCTGCCCCAATGCACGCGCTTCCCGATCGACAACGGGTTGTGGCCCTAGTTGGAGATGCTCTTAGAGACCACGGAGACGGAGACGCTAGAGTCAAGGTTCGTGGAGCCGTTGGCTCGTACTATGGACATGAAGGCCTCGTGCGACTGCGTCCACACGATGATTTTGCCCCCACATATTCATCTAGATGGTCAGGAACACACACTCTGCCATAAGCACCATCGCGCCCTCACGGCTGCGACCATGATGGCAACGACCTTTGGCCTACTATCCATTCTTGTGCTCCTGTTGGTGCCTTCCCGCCGAGGCCAAGACGACTCGCAAGCCAGCGTGCTCTGCTCTGGTCTCCCTCCTCTTTTCCATGGTCGGTAAAGGAATGGGATTGGATGGATGGGAAGTAACCCATCAAGATGCATATCTTGTGTGGATGGGTTTGTCATCGAAGGGCCATTGGTCGATATTTATTAGATAGAGAAGAACAATACACCAACATCCAATAGTCCAAGAGGTCTAGAACTGTTAGTACATGGAGGAGTACAAGGGAACAACAAGAACCCTAAACCCGTGCGACGCTGTGGTGACTAACTTCCCAGGTAAGGATGGCAATGGGTCGGGTTTGGATCGGGTTGAACAATATTAAATCCATATCCATATCCATGAAGACGGTTTTTGCCCGCCCATGAAAAAAATCCACGGGTGAAAAAATGTGTCCATGCCCAAATCCGATGGATATCCATAGCCACTGCATATCCATTGGGTCCTCTCGAGACATATAAATAAGACATAACACAATGTTAACATAAGCTCTTCCATTCTTCACCTTGTGGTAGGCTAGGCTTCACTTATGGTATACATTAACTTATGGTAAATCAACATTCAGCGACATTCTAACTTCATTTAGTATTTTTCTAACAGATCAGAATGATGAGTCATTTAACAACGAGATAAAAAATAAGGGAAGGGGCGTTGGAGTATTCTATGGAGGGGATTGAATATCAACTAATAAAACTTACCACGGGGATTGTGTAATTTCTTTTGCATCTTTTAAATAACAATGTGTAAAATTATAGTGGGACATGTGATTATGGGGTAGGGATAGTAGATTTTTGCTCATTAAGTCATACTATCGGGTCGGGTTTGGGTATACCCACGGGTACAAGATTATAGCCATGCCCTACCCGCAAACAATCGGGCCGGGTTTGGGCACCACCCATGAACACAAAAGCATATCCAAACCCTATCCATTCGGGTCGGATATCCATAGATATCCATGTCCATGGGTAAAATTGCCATCCTTATTCCCAGGTCAGCCACACAACCAGCGGATCTCCATACTATATTGATGAGTTTGGAAAGAAAAATCTGAATCGGCATGGATTGGAAAGGATCGATGGATGGAGACCAGAATAGAACGAAAATATTGAGGATAAAAAACTAGTCAACGTGGTGTTCTCTGGTAAAGATCCGTTGGGGGATGTACCTTTGAGAAAAACGGTGGGGTTGTTTTTGTTAATAGATAGGAGGTTGGGTACGAACAACTATATACGGATTGCCCTTTAATAGGAGAGAGTGCCAAACAGCCCCCCCCCCCCCTAAAAAGAGCGCCGAGTATTGACTTTTTTTATAAACACATGTAATTTTATTCATACCCATAACAATTACAAGCACACTGATTTGGATCTAAGATCCAAGAAAATACAAACTAACTTCTATGAGTAAGAATTACAATGAAATATCTTGGAAACACCTTCTTCATTGCATTAATCTAGAAGAATTACTTCAAAGCATTGTTCGGGGTATCTTTAACTGCTAGCTGCTCGGTTGGCTGGCGAGTAGGGGATTAATAGGCTAATTTACAATTTTAATCGACCAACTAATCAATTAATTAGACAATTTATCAGTTTATCGGCTAGTCGGTGACCCAACGAGTAGGGATTAATCGACAAGTTAACTTGTTAATCGGATGGTCCCCGATAAAATTGTTAATCGGATGAATTGTTGAGTAGGGCTTCAAAGATTTCGGTAAAGAGCCTGCTATTGGATTGGAGCAACGATGTTATCACTCTTTCATCCGTAGAAACATTACCAATATTGATTTTTTTAAAGCGCCTTGAGTTGCCCATCCAAAAGATGAAAAGCTTGATCAATGAATCTACTTGGGCCGGGAATGATCCCCTAGAAGTGCAGACCGTCAGATTACAATATATTCACCATGGTGTCGATGAAAGATATTAAACTCCACAAAAAATCAAACACACAAAAAAAGTTAACACACCAACATAAACTCATCATGTCCCGGCAACGTGATACTAAATTCTCTAATCTCATGGCATCACTAAAAGAGTGAGAGTAAATTTATTCTCACAAAATACGATGACTAGGAGCCTCTCGGCGACGTGGCCTCGAAAAAGGAAAACCATGAATGTGAATGCAAGGCCGGTCCAACCCAAACGTACTTACCAGCGGATGAGGCGGGGTTGTTCCTATTTCGTGCTTCAGGCGCCCATTATAGGTATTTTTGCAAACGGGCGCCTAAAGCACACACTCTCTAGTGTGGGATGGGCCGGCCCATTTAGCGTTTTCCTTTATCTGTTTAAAGTGCAAAAGATGGTGTGTGCCGACGAATCAAACTATAGACCTCTAAGTTCACAGCGCACCTCGCTAACCACTGGTGCCATCGCAAACTTATGCATAGAAACTTCTTTGGTCCTTTTTGTTCTTTTTCTAGTACACATTTCTTTTCTTTTTTCTTTTCTTTTTTCTTTTTCTATTTATTTCATTTTCTGAAATGTGTGATTGTAAATTGATGAATTTTTTCTTCAAAATCAACGAATGTTGTTTAAAAAATCTATGAACTTTTTTTTCCAAATCGGGGAACTCTTTTCAAAATTTGTGAACTTTATTAAAAATGTGATGAACTTTCTAAAAAAAATCCATGAACTTATTTTCAAATTCGATGAATTTTTCTCAAATTCAATGAACCTTTTCATAATTCGATGATTTTTTTTAAAAAAATCCAAGAACTCTTTTTCCAATTTCTATGAACTTTTTTCAAAATTTATGACCTTTTTTTAAAATTTGGTAAAATAATTCGAATTTGATGAACTTTATTCAAATTTGTTTCTTAAATACATGAACATTTTTTTTCAAATTTGATGAATTTTTTTCAAAATCGATGAAATTTTTCTTGAAAATTGTTGAACTTGTTTTCAAGTTTCTGAACTTCCTCTTGAAAATGGATGAACTTTTTTCGAAATCCATTAACCTTTTGAAATTCAGGATTTTTTTCGTCAAATAATTCAAAAAACATTAATAGCGCGGCAATATTGTTATTATGCAGATGGCGCTATTACCTATCACTAATGGCATAATGGCATATAACTTCAGTGGTTTGCAGAACACTTAAGCTAGTGGAACTGCGCGAGTTCGAAACCTGAAGAGACCATTTTTGCCTTTTTTTGCGCTATTATTTCGATGTTGTGCTCGTTTCGTGAGCCGGGTCATTCTTTTTTTTTTCACTCGCAGCTCCGGGGCCCGGCCCGGCCCAACGTTTCTAGTTTGCGTCTGTAAGATTTGCCAGTTCGTTCCGCCCTGGCCTCCTGCTTTCCTTCCTCGCCCCCTCCTCCTGCCGCGCCGCCAGCATGGGCATCCTCTCCTCGCCGCCCGCGCTCCTCCGACGAGCCGCCGCCCTCGCCTCCGGCGCGGGCCGACGTTACTCCACGCCGTCCGTGCCCTCTCACATCCGCCGCCTACCCCTTCAGGTGCTGCCTCCTCATCCCCACCGCCACTCTGCCTGGGATGCTTCATTTTAACTCCCAAGTTAACTCTGGCCACCTTTTCCTCGCTGTGATCTGCTAGGGTGGGAGAAGCGGTGCGTATTGTCGGTTCCGGTCGCAAGGCTGCTTCTTGTCAACCACAGGTGCCGCTGATGTTTGCTCATATTTATTTGCTGTTTGGTATTTGTGTTATATATAAAAGGCTCCAGTTCTCCTTTCTCCTTGTAAAAGGCTCCAGATTTATTTGCTGTTTGGTATATATGACCTTCGAAGTTTTATACAATGTGTACTAGATATGCCTATTATTGTCAAAAACCAGCTATGCGCGAAAATCAAACTGTCTTTGCCCAAGTGTCACTTTATTGTGTCTGCACAAAACATATGGTTAAAGTATGTTAGTATTCTAGTGGACACCTGATGCTCTCCGAAGTTACAGTGCTATATACGTAGTACTCTTTTGTGTTCTATAGCTATATTAAGTTATTAACTGCCTTCCTTATGAGTTATGCATCTACTCAGGAATCTGTACAAAATTTCAGCTGATAATGATATGCAGTTAGACTATGAAAGCGACCCCCCGCTGGATGACGTGAAATCTCTTGAGAAAGTGTCGACGCTGAATGGTGCTGTCTCTCAGCTTGCAAGTGATTTCGATAGAGACTCTAATCTATGCTTGGAGCGCTTCTCCCGGACAAGGCGTGCATCTGTCATTTCGACTGGTTCTCTTAAGCTTGACCTTGCTCTTGGCATTGGAGGTTTACCAAAGGTTTATAATGCTTTTCCACATGTTGTTCAAAATTAAATATTCACATGATCTAAGTATGCGTCGTTATCATTTAATTACCTGTCAATGCCTCACTTGGTACTGCACATGGCCCACAGGAAAATTCAAATAATCTTCTGTGTTCTGTTGTTGTATGCTATGTTGCAGTTCCCTATTTCTGTCAGCAGTGACAATTACAAATGTTATTTGGCATATTTTGTGGGAATTTTGATGCACACCTGCACCTCTGCATTAGTTTAAACTGTATGATGCGTTCAACTGGTTAGTTGAGTGGCAAAGTCCATTTGATTCACTCGTGCTAAACATCATGTGTTGCGTGTTGATAATGATTGCTATCTTTCTTTTGACTGAGCACCCAAGAATCACAGTTTATCTTCAGCATTTCTAGAAAAGTATATACAGGCACAGCTTCATGTTTGTCTCCTTGGATTTCTAATTCTTTTTCAGTATATTTCAAATTTGAGTTTAGTTTTCCTGTTTAACAAATCACTGATTGAAGTTGTTTGGCAGGGTAGAATGGTTGAAATATTTGGCAAAGAGTCATCTGGGAAGACAACACTTGCACTTCATGTTATCAAGGAAGCCCAAAAGAATGGAGGTTGATATTTCTTTTATGGTGCCTGCAATTTTTTATTCAATTATCAAATTGTCTACCGTCCTCTTTTATCCTTCACCATATTTACTTGGCTACAGAAATCCTTGACAACATGAAAGCTTTGAATGGTTATAATCTTGTGCATTCCTGAAATAATTATAAATATTTTTGTATATTCTTGAGCAGCTGTAGGTAGCATTGTTAGTAACCTTTCAGCATCAAGAAGTTGGATCTTCAACTTTAAGAATGGCTTCAACATTTGTTGGTTTTTATTTTTTTAATGTTCTCCCTAACATGCATTAGTAAAGAATGTTTGGAAATTGTAACTTAGTAACATATCTAAAAATTGCTAATATGTTTTAATGGAAACACTGGAGGCTTTTTTTTTTTTACATTGCTACAATGCTGGCTACTAACTACTAAGATTTCCCTACATCAAGTGTCAAGAGCAAGTTTCATTCAACTGGTTGAAATCCTTCTCGTGAAGTACTTTCACAGAGATATTGTGTGATTTGTCTTACTCTTTGTTTGGTTCATTGTGCTTGGTAGTTCAGACGTTTTTCACCTTATCGTGAAGCAGATTATCTGATCAATATTTGTGATTGGGAATACTTGCAGGCTACTGTGCTTATATTGATGCAGAAAATGCTTTCAACACTTCATTTGCAGAAGAAGTTGGTGTGGACATTGACAAACTCCTAATAGCTCAACCTGATTCTGCTGAAAATTCATTAAGCATAGTGAACACTCTTGTTGGTGGATCCATTGATGTTGTTGTTGTGGATAGTGTATGTTACTTCACTATGCCAACTTTATGTACTTCGTATTTAATCTATGTTATATATTTGTTTACCTTGCTTTTAATGGATTAATGACAGGTGGCAGCACTGATTCCCAAATGTGAACTTGAAGGTGAAATATACATGAAATTTAAAGACGCACAATCTCGTGTAATGACTCGGGCACTTCGAAAAATTCAATACACATTAAGTCGCTCTGAAACACTTATTATTTTTGTGAATCAGGTATGAATTTACTTGTGTTGGTGTTGTTGGGGTATTACATCGAACAGCACCTCAGCTCCTTGAGACCCTCGTTCCTGGTTCCCAAATGATTTGTCTGATATTGTTGACTGAGTAATTGTTTTAGTTTGTACTGTTTCCTGTTGTTCCAACAAGAAACCTATTATAACCAATCTCCTGCAATTATAAATGAGTATTTCTCCATGCACCCACAAAGATAGATAAATACACTATGTTATGTTCTTGTAAACCTAATCTTGAAAATGAAATGGGTTTGATCTGAAAAATCTAAAACTCAGTACTGGCTTGTGTCACATTTGGAAAGATATGCTATTGTAGTACTGGAAGGCTCAAATATGTCAGTATGCCTCTATATCAGTGTGATATTTTTTTTCCCCTTGCTGCTGATGCTGATCTGACATTTCATACTGGTTCTGCAGCAGTTTTAATGTGATTTTTTTTGCCATTCTTCTTATCTTACTAGTGAAAACATGAAAGTCTCCCAAGATATGTTAACCTCGGGGATTATGATGCTGCTGCCATGCTTCTTTGACTATTGATTGATTCTTTTTATAGGTTAGAACAAAGCGTAGCTCAGATCCATCTTCTGGGCTCTACAAGGAGGTAACCTGTGGTGGCAACGCGTTAGGGTTCTATTCAGCAATCAGAATGAGGACATCGAGAAGGAAATTGCACTACTGCAAAGAAGAGGTATTATAAATAGATTTCATGATTCTGAATTGGTGTTCTCTTACCATTGGTCGATGGCACTATAGCAAAATGTGCATTGTTCTGCTGAACGTGTGATGTATGCATAATTTCATCATTAAAGACCATCAGGTACATGCCATTGCTCTAATAGTAGAAAATTCTGCATTTTCAGGCCACTGGCATCAGTATAGCAGTGCAGATCATCAAGAACAAATTAGTACCAGCAGCCCTGAAGGAAGCTGGGCTCAACATTGGGTTTGGTAAGGGAATATGCCATGAATCGGAGATTCTGGAGATGGCTTCTACGCATGGAGTTATCGTGAAGGAAGGATCTGGGTATTGGATCAACGGCGACTTCCTGCCTGGCAAGGAGGAAGCCGAGAAGTTCCTACTTGAGAACGAAGCTGTGGCAGACGACATCTGCAGTACCATGAGAAGCCAACTCTTTGAAACGTGACGTACAAAGACCACCGGAAATTTGGTTCTCCAGAATATCTCTCCTCGCCATATCAACACAATGTAAATATAGAAACTCCGAGAAATATTGCGTGTACAGCCGGTATATGATTTGAGCGGCTCATTTATTATTTATCCGGTGAAGTGCTGATGACCGGTCGATTGGCAATTGGGATCGATGCACATCTGCATCAACAGGCGGATATAAACGGTGGTTCCATAAGGTGTGGATTTCTGAAGTTGTATCATGTACTTGTAGGGCATTCCCTGTGTAACTTTAATCTAGGGTACCAGCACATTGTTCCCGCTTCCCTTTGGATTATTATATGTAATTTGTACCTTGGTTAGCCGGTTTCGCCGAGGGCCAATTCCTCGATCATTGGAATTCTTGAGCTCACTTTAACAAATTTTACCATGTAGTATATCATGTGTATCATTAGAAATATATATGCATGTTGAACTCAAAAAAGGAATATTTTGCCGTGGAAACCTGCTATTTCAACCTTGCGTGCATAGCACATGGATGGTAAGCCACAGGTCAAGTTTTCCATACCAAAACTTGGTTCCGTACCTGCCAAGTTTTCCGCTCTCTTTTTACATGACACTAGTACAGACAAATTCAACCATCCATGGCCGTAAAATCTTGCATATAAAGCACGGCAGGGTACATGGTCTCGAGCGGAAACCTTGGTCGGAACTCGGAACACACGGAGACGCTGCCGGACGACGCCATCCTCGGCCGCCTCGCGCGGCGGGAGTGCGCAGGGCGTGGCTAGCCGTCGTGGACGAGAGTGGTAAATTTGCGGGGTAGCTTGTCGTTCATGCACATGTTTATGATGTCAACATGCAGATGGCGCTACGGCGTGTATTGTCATGGAGCATTACACGTGCTGCTCTATCACGGTACATTTGTCACCAGGTAAACATCATGATAAAAGCACACGAAACTAAATTCTGTTGCCAACTCTAGCATTCATATTGCTTATTTTATATTTAAATAGTTGTTGACATTTTTGTAGGTTTTCATTGCCTAGTGGAAAATATAAAGTAATAAGTACTCCAATATATGCCCAGGAAGGCAAAGTTGGAAAGCATTATCTTGGGAGATCGGAGGAGGATGTGTACTTTGCAGAGATCCGTGATCGAATTCGGATATGGACCCTGAGTGAATCAAACGGTCAGTCAGGCTGGGCGTTGAAGAATTGTGTTGACCTTGCGCCATTGGCAAATATATCTGCAATTAGACCGAAAGGAATTTGCAGGCCTTGGATCTTAGATAACGATCAGGATCTTGACAAATATGGAAATAACAAAACACTAGCGGGGCAGCTTTTTGATTGGAGCTGGGATGATGATAATATTCTTGACACAAACACAAACAATGAGTGTGAAGATTGTACACCCTGTGCATGACTAGAGATCTTCCAGAATATGCAAGCTCAGATGAAGATGACCTGTACACCCTGTGCATGACTAGAGATCTTTCAGAATGTGCAAACTCAGACGAAGATGAAGGTTGGAGATCGATATGAAGATGATGAAGATGGCACACATACGTTTTCTGACGCAATCTTGCTTCATGAGTGTTGCCTGTTTGCTCTCAGTCGTTTTACGTGCACACTCTTCGTAGTTTGTTCGCCAAGTAGTTTCTACTCTGCTCTTCTTTTTTAAGCCCCGTTGTTCAGGCGTTCAGCCTCACGCTACGGTTGTACTTACCTTGTTTTCTTTTATTTTTTGCAATTAATCACAGAGATGGCGCATATACACATCATAGTTTATTCGCACCTAAGTCTATTTTTGCAGTCTGAGTGGTGTAGTTAAACATGTCCGCATCAATGGCGTGAATTAGATATTAAAATCAATTATGAGAGATATTGGTTTGAGTGGAAGCATAATTATGAATTAATTAAGTTTAATCACTAGTGCAACGACTAATTAATCACTAGTCGTCCAAGCGACATAGCAAGGGATGAAGGGAACATGTGTTCTTGCAGTCTGATAGCCTGATAAGTACAACTACTTGCTACTCCCACCGTTCCGAAATATAAGTCTTTTTGGAGAATATAATATGGACTACTTACGAAGTAAAATGAGTGAATCTATACTGTATTTATATACATACGTGTAGTCTATATTAAAATTTCTAAAACGACTTATATTTAGGAACGAAGAAAGTGGATTAATTTCAAGCTATCCTATCTATACAAAAGTGGAATATGTACACGATCACACTGTACACGCTAATGACAAGGAATAAGCACGATTGATGTCCAGATGTCACCGTTACACAAACCTGTCTAAATATGCCAGATACCGTCCAGATGTCACCCTTACACAAAGGGAACTGATAGGCGCCCGTGCACCGGCCCAAATTTGAGCCGGTCTGCCCGCAGCCGTCCGATCCGTGTATAATTGGCCGTTTGATTCGCCAGTTAGGACTCGCCCGTGTCTACTTAAAATAACCTCGCCCCTCCCGCCGGTCGAACGCAGAGGAGCGCCGCCCATCTCCAGCGATACCCTCGCAGCACCGCATAGCTCCGGCGAGGACCCCCGCAGTGCATACCCGGCAAGGCCTCCCACAGCGCATCTCCGGCGAGGCCTCCCACGGCGCATCTCCGGCGAGACCCCCGCGGCTCGCAGCACCGCACGTCGCCGTCTTCCAGCATGTCGTTGCGCATCGCCCCGTCCCCACTCCCCAGCACGCGCCCCCCTGCCGGGTTCGCCCTCGACGCCTCGCCATCAAGGCTCGCTATCGTTACCATCATCCATGTCCAGCCTCTGGCGGGCACGTGGTCACCGTGGTTGCAACAAACGCCCGACACGGTTCCAGCATCTAGCGAGAGTTGTTGTAGCATCTGGCGAGCATGGTCACCGCGCCCATCGTAGCAAAAACCTAACCTGGTGGTAGCAAAATTAGAAGCTTGTTCCAGCAAATCAAAATGCTAATGGTAGCAAAAATGAAAAACCAGGCGCTGGCTTCAGGAAAATCACGAAGCCGGTGGTAGCGAAAAATGACGCTGGTTGCAGCAAACCGCAAAAATGGTGGTAGCAAAAACTGCAAAAAATGATGTGAGTTCCAGCAAGCGAAAAAAGCTTCAACTGGCTATGAATAAAGTTTCAAACCATATAGGACCGAAGCTATGGACAACAAAGAAAAGTTACAACTGGTGAAGCAAAAAGCTTCATCCGGCCACGAAAAAGCTTCATCATGCGATGAAAAAAGTTTCAACCATAGAGACAGAAGCCATGGATGACAAATGAAAAGCTACAATCGACGGTTACGAAAGCTACAACCGGCATTGAAAAAAGATTCAAACTTCTTGTCTAGCCGTGACCTCCGCAACGATGATGACGCAGTTTTGCTGCAACCATAGTCGATGTTTGCTACAACCGGTGATGGAATTTGCTACATCCATTTCACAGCTGGTGCTACTGCTCCGCTGAGCTCCCACGACCGCCCATGGCCATCACCGCCGTGGCGCCGTTCCGAGAGGTGCCTGACGACGCAGTGGCCGAGATCCCTGCGCGATGCCCATCCTCGCTCGTGCGTGCCGCCATGGCCTGCGTCTCCTCGTATCCTCCCCGCGATTCCTCCGCGGCCATCAGTTGACGGCACGGCCATGGCGATGAGCACAGCCATGGAAATGGCACGGCAGTGTTGTCCCCGAGGGGCGCACGAACATCACAGGAGGCAGGAGCTGATGGTCGGTCTGGATCTATGGAGTTTCCTGCCTGGGCGATTGCGAGGAAGGAGTGGATGGGGCGTTGGGGGAGAGGATAAGATACACGTGTTGCCTTCCTGGTGGCTAGCGCCAGCGAGGCGAAAGCGACCGGCCCGAGCGTTCCGCCGGCACACCGCACGTAAACACTTCCCTTACACAAACCTGTCTAAAATTTTAAACTTCAATCGCAAAAAAAGAAAAAGAAGAAAAAAGAAGCAAACAAACTTGCCCAGATGTGCGGGCACGGATCGTAAGTCACAAGCCAAGTTTCCACACGAAAATTTCATACTGCTCCCTTTTTTTTTTGCATCGACATACTACTCATATTTGATTCCGTAGCTTTCAAGTCTTTCCACATATATCTTCTATATCTAAATAGCTAGCCCTCACTAACCTATTTCTTTCAACATACAAGCATGACACCTCATCAAGCAACATGCATTAGAAAAGACCCACTTCAACATTCAATGAGTCATAGAAAAAGGTTGACTTCAACATGCAAACATGCATGATATATTTAATAAATATTTTACAAAAATACAATAATCAAACACAATAAACCATATGTATTTTTAGATTTAGCTCACATATTATCTCTCCGAATATTCTTATTTTCATAAAATTATTAATATCTTAAAAAAAAGTTGCAAAATAATCCCGCAACAACGTGTGGGGCATCGTCTAGTTTTTCAAGTTGTAGGGGCAGGTTCTCGAGCAGAAACCTAGGTCAGAACTTAGAACGCCCCGAGCTGCCGTGATCGGCGTCCAGAACACGGCGGCAGCGAGCGACAAGCCGATGGACCACACGGAGGCACTGCCGGAGGACGCGCTCGCGGCCATCCTCGGCCGCCTCGTGCGTCGGGACCTGGCGGCGTGCTGCCGCGTGCGCAGGGCATGGCTCGCCATCGTCGACGGGCGGCGGCTGCTGCCGCGCAACCGCCACCTGCCGGACTCGGTGGAGGGCATCTTCGCCAACTACTGGAGCTACGACTGCCCGCACTTCCTCGGCCGCCCCTCCACGCGGCACCGCGGCGTCAACTACGGAGTCAATTGCAAAAAACTACCACATTTGCGGCTAGGTTTGTGGAAAACCACCAAGTTGGTAATCCGTTGCAAAAAAACACCGTGATTTTACTAAACTCTTTGCAAAAAGCACTGATCGGGTGATTTGGCTCGTTTGATCACTTTCTGACAAATGGGGCCGGATTGTAAGGAGCTTAACTGGTAAAAAATTAGCACACACACCCCTAGATATTTACAAAAAACGCAATCAGATCCC